CCCCCCCCCCCCTTCTCTTCTTTTTTTTCCCAGGGTCACACACCGCACATTTTTTCACGCCACTGATCTATATTCATATTTTTATATCACACACGCAATCATCGGGGAATTTAGTTCGTCTAATCACTGTCACCCTGATTCCTTCATCTTCCCCTTGGAAAAAGAGGAAAAACTCATTTTTTGGGGGGGGGTGGGGTTTTGTGGTTGGGCTGCATTTTTTAAACAAACATTTTGTCATCGGCAACGAGTCTATGTGCCAAATTTCTGCTTGATAGGCTGACGGAAAATGGGCCAATTGGCCTTCAATTTTGTCGCACACCCAGCCAGAAAGAAGCGAGAGATCAAAAGCAAAGATAATGTAAAGGATGTAAAAATGCTAGGTACTGACCTGAGATAAATGAATTCGTTAATTTCTAAGAACTGGGCAATCTGGTGACCAAAAAAAGAAAAAAAAAATTGGTTTGCGAGGTTGATTCAATTTTACCGGATATGGTGCAGCGGGTTAACAAAGCTTTTCTATACTACGCACACCTTCGACTTGTTGGACTTGCTCCCGCACCCACTATCAAACTAAAAACCCATATTAAAATTTGACCTAAAAACATTAATATCTTAGGTTACAACTTACGGTTACATCTTACGGTTATATCTTAGGTTACAACTTACGGTTACATCTTACGGTTATATCTTAGGTTACAACTTACGGTTACATCTTACGGTAATATCTTCGGTTACAACTTACGGTTACATCTTACGGTAATATCTTCGGTTACAACTTACGGTTACATCTTACGGTAATATCTTCGGTTACAACTTAAGATTACATCTTACGGTTATATCTTAGGTTACAACTTACGGTTACATCTTACGGTAATATCTTAGGTTACAACTTACGCTTACATCTTACGGCAATATCTTAGGTTACAACTTACGCTTACATCTTACCGAATAAATGCGAAACCTTGTAGAATGTATAACGGTCCCGCCCAAACCTCAAAAATGTAATTTAAAAATTAAAATTTTTAAAATACTACACAGATAATCTGTTATCTAACATTTTAATTGAAATCAATAAAAAGGCGGTTCTACGTGAATAACGTTAGAATCTATTTGGAAGAACGTAATAAATGATTTGATATTAATTATTTTTTATGCTTTTAATTTCGGTCACATTTGATCGATGACGACATGGGCTTTGACGTAGAGGACATTGATTGAAGATAAATAATGTGGATTTTTTTTAGTGCCACAATTAGACTCCATATGAAAACTATCCTTTTTTTAAAAAAAAAAGCAGCGATGAATTTAATTATTCATCGTTTCTAATTTTCATGCTAAAAAAAAAAAAATTGTTTTATTCCGTCTGTCCAAAAACAGAGACGCAAAAATAACACACGCAAAAAAAAAAAAAAAAAAAATTTTTTTCAAAAAAAAAAAAAAAAAAAAAAAAAAAAAAACTCTCTCTCTCTCTGTCTCTCTAACCCTCTCTATCTCTCCCTACCTCTCTCTATTTTTCACTCTCCCTCTCTCACTACCTCTCTCTCTCACGCTCTCTTCTCTTCCACTTTCTCTGTCCCTCTCTCTCTCTCTCTCTCTCTCTCTCTCTCTCTCTCTCTTCCTCTCTCTACATATATATATATATCTCCCCTACAACTCTCTCTTTTTCTTACTGTCTCCCTCCTCCTCTCTCTCTCCATCTCTCCCCCTTTCTTTCTCTCATTCTGTGCCTGACTTTTAACATTTTAAAAAAACATTACATTATGTTTAGCTTGTTGGAATATCCTCCTTTAAATACGTTTTTAAACAAAAAACTATCGTCTCTCTTGTATAAATTAATTTCCAAACGAAAAAAGAAATTTTAAAGATGACATATTTTTTAAAAAAAATCAACAATTTCTTCTTCTGCGAATTCCTTCTGACTAAATAGACCATTACGCCACACACCGACACCATGCCATTAAAAGCCTCTTCCCTGTGTCGAAAAGTCAGAAGGTCATTCTCTGACAACAAATATGGGAGCAGACCTCGTGGTCATTTTGCCATAAATACACCCGAGAATGTGTGGCTAAATCCAGAAACTGATTGCTTCCAAAAATAATTTAATTTGTTGAAAGATATCCTGTCGTGTCATCGTTTCGTCGTCAGCTCCAAGGGTAAAGGACACCGTGTTTACCCTTTCCTTAACAGCTCTCGTCGAGCGTCTATATTTAAGATGTGTAACTTTGTTTCCATTTTGAGAGTTATTACTTTTTTTACCCTTAGAACGGTTTTATTTTAAAAAGGCAAGCATAATTTTTTTTTAAAACTAAAAGCAAAGTTTTTGGTATAAATGCTATGTAAAATCTTATCTCCAGAAATGGGGCAGAAAAGTGGGGTTGGGGGGGGGGTGCTGAAAATTTGATTAAAACTTGCATTCAAGTAATTCACTTTATAAGAATGCCAATCAGTGCCAGCCCCCCCCCCCCCTCCTCTTTTTTTTTTTCCCAGGGTCACACACCGCACATTTTTTCACGCCACTGATCTATATTCATATTTTTATATCACACACGCAATCATCGGGGAATTTAGTTCGTCTAATCACTGTCACCCTGATTCCTTCATCTTCCCCTTGGAAAAAGAGGAAAAACTCATTTTTTGGGGGGGGGTGGGGTTTTGTGGTTGGGCTGCATTTTTTAAACAAACATTTTGTCATCGGCAACGAGTCTATGTGCCAAATTTCTGCTTGATAGGCTGACGGAAAATGGGCCAATTGGCCTTCAATTTTGTCGCACACCCAGCCAGAAAGAAGCGAGAGATCAAAAGCAAAGATAATGTAAAGGATGTAAAAATGCTAGGTACTGACCTGAGATAAATGAATTCGTTAATTTCTAAGAACTGGGCAATCTGGTGACCAAAAAAAGAAAAAAAAAATTGGTTTGCGAGGTTGATTCAATTTTACCGGATATGGTGCAGCGGGTTAACAAAGCTTTTCTATACTACGCACACCTTCGACTTGTTGGACTTGCTCCCGCACCCACTATCAAACTAAAAACCCATATTAAAATTTGACCTAAAAACATTAATATCTTAGGTTACAACTTACGGTTACATCTTACGGTTATATCTTAGGTTACAACTTACGGTTACATCTTACGGTTATATCTTAGGTTACAACTTACGGTTACATCTTACGGTAATATCTTCGGTTACAACTTACGGTTACATCTTACGGTAATATCTTCGGTTACAACTTACGGTTACATCTTACGGTAATATCTTCGGTTACAACTTAAGATTACATCTTACGGTTATATCTTAGGTTACAACTTACGGTTACATCTTACGGTAATATCTTAGGTTACAACTTACGCTTACATCTTACGGCAATATCTTAGGTTACAACTTACGCTTACATCTTACCGAATAAATGCGAAACCTTGTAGAATGTATAACGGTCCCGCCCAAACCTCAAAAATGTAATTTAAAAATTAAAATTTTTAAAATACTACACAGATAATCTGTTATCTAACATTTTAATTGAAATCAATAAAAAGGCGGTTCTACGTGAATAACGTTAGAATCTATTTGGAAGAACGTAATAAATGATTTGATATTAATTATTTTTTATGCTTTTAATTTCGGTCACATTTGATCGATGACGACATGGGCTTTGACGTAGAGGACATTGATTGAAGATAAATAATGTGGATTTTTTTTAGTGCCACAATTAGACTCCATATGAAAACTATCCTTTTTTTAAAAAAAAAAGCAGCGATGAATTTAATTATTCATCGTTTCTAATTTTCATGCTAAAAAAAAAAAAATTGTTTTATTCCGTCTGTCCAAAAACAGAGACGCAAAAATAACACACGCAAAAA